TTGATGTGATGGGATGGGCAAAGGACGCGTGGCGATCTGTGTCGCAGTCGACCATTGTCAACTGCTGGAAACGCACTGGCATTTTGGACAATGACTTGTCCATGTTCACATCAAACGTGTCTGTAATGAATTTGAATTGATTGGTTTTCGAAGTCTGTGCAGCAATTTATACCTCTATATTTGGATGTATTGCGATAATTGCATAGAATGAACCGTTTGACTTAGCGAGGGAAATCAGTGTTTCGTTGTGAAATCTCTTGTCGTCGTTATCGGAAATGGCATATTTTGTCCAAGCAAACAACAGTAGCAATCTTGGCATGCAATTTAATTACCACCAAAACTCATCGTATATTCATATATTTCCAATATAAATATCAAGACAACAAGGTAGTACCACTAGGTGAATTTTTTCGTCGCTACCTGTACGAGACAGACGTGGGTGTGTCGACGGTGAGTGTTGCGGGGGTCGGGACCTTGTTCGAGGACGACGGCGGTGAGTCGATAATGATTCCTTCGGAACGACGCTGTTGGTTCGTCCGCCAGCGGTTGAGGGCCTTCTTGCGGCACTCGGACTGCCAGTGACCTTCCCTGCCGCAGCAGTGGCAAGTCCCGGTGGTTTGTCGTGTTTGCCACCGTTGTGTCCGTGGTCATTGCGGCCTCTACCGCCACCGCGGCCCCCGCGACGACTGATGCGGTCGGCTCGGCCGTCGTTGTTGGCGCCTTGAGCCATCAAGGCGCGTTCTTAGTTTGCTTTTCGGTTGGGGGATTTTTTGGCGCCGATTTTGGTAGCGGCCTTCGACTCTGACTCCAGCTGGGTCTTGACTTCCATCAGTGTAAATTGGGTCGCGCCGTTGAGGAGGCGGTCAACGATATGGTGGAATTCCCAGGGCATGAGCGACAGGAATTTGATGACGCGTTGTTTCTCCGATTCTGTGACGCCGACTTCCGACATGGTAGTGATCATCTCTTGGAAGCGGTGGATGAAGTCGGGTAAGGTTTCTTGGCGTGGGTTCCAGTTGAGTTTGGCCCAGCCGCGACTGATTCGACACGGTCAATAGTAGTCGTACGCTGATCGTACTGCTTCAAGCGACCGTACGCCGTCCGAGCCTCGTAGGTGTCTTGAACGTGACGGTATTGG